TAAAATAGGTCACTTTCCTCCAAATCCCACAGCAGCGCCGCACAAAATGGTATTTACCCCCCTAGAAGTCATTTAATTAAAAAAAAAAAAAAGAAAGAAAGAAAGAAGGAAAAAAAAAAAAAAAAACCACCAAACAACCACCCAGCGGCGATCATCCAACAGCTCACTGCGGGAAGGCGGGGTGCGGGCAGGCCGCAGCGGGGCCGCATCGCCGCCTCCGAACCGAGCGGAGCGGATCCCCGGGCCGGCCCGCTGTCAGCCGGCAGCGCCATTTCTCCTCCTCCTCCCCCGCCGCCCTCCGCCGCTCGGGGCCGGGAGCAGCGCGGAGTCCTGCGGCAGTGCCGCAGAGCGCGGCGGGGGAGGGAGGCACCGGCCCCCCCCCGCCCCCCGTCCCCGTCCCCATCCTCCTCCCGCCCCTCCCCGCCGAGCCCCCCGCGCCGTGCCCGCCTTACCCTCCGCCGCAGCCGGGCTGGGAGCGCCGCTCGGCCCCCCGCGGAGGAGGAGGAGGAGAGGAGGAGGAGCGGGGCAAAGGGGCGGCGGCCCCGCGGGGGGAGGCGCCCCCGGAGGGGCGTCGGGTCCGGCCCCCCCCGGGTGCCCGGGCGCGGCGGGCACAAAGGCGTTGTGGCACGGCTCCTAAGATGGCAGGGCAGGCCGAGCCGCCTCCGGCACCGCCGCCGCCCGCCGCCGGGCCCCGCCGCCAGGCCGCGACGCGGTGCGGGAGGGCGGGCGGAGCCGGCCGTGCTCCGAGCGCGGCGGAGCGGGGGTCCGTCGGCCGCACCGCGCCGGGATGGCCGCCGCCCGCCGCCGCCTCCTCCTCCTCCTCCCCTCAGCGCCGCCCGGGCTGCTCCGCCGCCGCTCCGCTCCGCGCTGCCCGCAGCCAGCGGCCCCCGCCCGCCCCTCTCGCGAGACTTCGCCGCCCTCCTCCCTCCCTCCTTCCTTCCCTCCCCGGGAGGAGCGGCGGGAGGAGGCCGGGGCGGGGCGGGGCCGCGCTGCGAGGGGGGGCGGCGTGAGGGGCGGCGAGGCCTCGAGTCCCTCGTGCCGAGGTGGAGCGGCGAGGGGGCGGCGGGGGCTCGTGTCCGTCGGGGGGGGGCGGAACGGATCGCAGCTGGGTGGGGGTCGGTTGGAGTGGGGGAGTGTTTGGGGTCCTGGGGGGGAAGGGAGACGCAGGTGAGGAGATAAAGAGGGCAGGGATGTGGCGGGATGGGCGGTGGGTCACGCCTGCCAGCCGCAGCCCCAGGAGGTGGTGGTGGTGGTGGTGGTGGCGGCAGCTGTCAGCTCGCCTTGGCCGCTGTGCACAACTGTTGGCCAACGCTGTGAGTCCGAGCTGCCCGCCCCGAGCCTCACCGTGTCTGCTTTATGGGCAGAAAGGGGGGAACAGCCACGCGCAGGGGGCACGCGGCCCCCCGAGCTGCCCTTTCCTGTTTGCCAGGCTCCAAACCCGCGGGTTTTGAAGCTGCTGGGTTGTGGAAGCTTGGTGTGCTTTGGGTGTCTGTGAACTAGAGGTAGCAGTTGGCTTCGTGAGGGGATTCATGATCGCCTCTCGTAGTCGTGTGTTTGTTTATTTGTTTTTACTATAGATTACAGCTGGAGGAATTCTAAACAGTCCGAGTCTCCTTGTGGTGGTGTTTCAGTGCATTGTGCTCCTGTCTGAACGGAGGAAACCGCTGAGGTCAGTCTCCCTTGTGTTTATAGCTGCTTTCCCTTTCAGAAGTATAGGGGCAAAGAATCATCAAAATAACAATTTTACTGACATCCTGTCAATGAATTAATAGAAACAATGGCATAAGACACACAGCTTGCAAAAGGCGTGCTTTTAGGTGTCACTTTCACCCTTAAATTCAGGGCTGTGTACCAAGGAAGTGTTCTCAGGTACCCCACAAACATTCGAGGTGTCTCCGGAATGAAATAATACAATTCTGCAAACCCAGTATTACTGATGCTGCTGCAGTCAAGCAAAACAAACTTCCTCCTGTTGTCCTACAGAGGTATTTTGTACCATCAGGAGGCCCTATTTACAGGATGATACTGGAGACCATTTATCCGACCTTCAGTACCTAAAGGGAGCCTACAAAGAGGAGGGAAATCAACTCCTTTGAGTTTTGTGAGTGACAGCAGGACAAGGGGAAATGGTTTTAAGTTGAGGGAGGGGAGATTTAGGTTGGACGTCAGGGGGAAATTCTTTACAGAGAGAGTGGTGAGGTGCTGGAACAGCTGCCCAGAGAGGCTGTGGATGCCCCATCCCTGGAGGTGTTCAAGGCCAGGTTGGATGGGGCCCTGGGCAGCCTGGTCTAGCATTAAATGAGGAGGTTGGTGGCCCTGCATGTGGCAGGGAGTTGGAGATTCGTGATCCTTGAGGTCCCTTCCAACCCTGGCCATTCTGTGATTCTGTGATTTGCTTTTATCTTTAAATGAGCAGACAGTTCTACTGGGGATTATTTAACCTGGGGTAGGGGAAACCTGAGGAGTGCTGAGAACAGAAGGTGACTGGAACAGTTGTGGACCTCATCTCGTGTTATACAAATGTGTCACACCGTGGTCTGATACTTTGCCTTCTCAAATCCCGCCAGGAAAAGCAAGACAAATGTGGATCGCTTCAAACATATGTTGTTGTAAGTATTGGGGAAGGCAAACTAAAGATTTATCTGATTATCTCAACCTTGAAGTTGGCAGCTATGACAGGAAACTTGGTTTTATTCATCTGCCAAAGATATTTGTAGCGTATCGTTTGACAAGTTAAAAGGCATTTTTGGAATGGCACAAAAATAAAGCCGTCCACTTCCTGAAACTGGAGTTTCTGTCTTTTAAAAAATACTATGGGTTTGGAGACGTGCTTCTGGGGAAGTGAGCGTGTAGTAGGAAACGTAACTATTTGTATTTTCAACAATAGCATTTAATATGAATCTATTCAGCATCGTCTGTAAGTTGTTTTCTTTTCTTGTGTTTCTTAAATTAGTGGGCATCGTTTGGTTTCCGCAGCCTAAGCGGAGCAGTAAGGAGTGATCTGCCCATGCAGTCAGAAAGTGGAATTAAGTTCTTCTGAATCCTGGTCTTGTACTTCCTCCTGCAGCCAAGGTGCCTTTAAAGCTCACAAATTATGAGGGTGACAGCTTGGGTTAGTGAGGTACATAGAGCTACCCTAACAGAGAGTTTGGGCCTCTGCTCCCTTTATTACGCACATAAAAAAGAGATAATGGTATCTCTAAGTAAAAAGCCTTGGGGTGTAGTGGTAGCTGCTGGAAAAAATGTGGATAATGCTTTGGTATTAAGTGTCAAGTGGTTTATTTAACGCAATAGATATGGGTTTGGTAAGTGCTCAGCGACCACTTCAAAAGTAAACAGTATTGCCTGCGTCCCACCAGTAGAGAAGAAGTCTACTGACATGGTTAAGTAGCAGGCCTATAAAAATGGCACTGTTTGTTATTGCCAGCTGAACTAGGCATGTCTTACAGGGCTTCCTAGGCCTGACCTATCAGGCATTCTTACTGCCTTGACAGCCAATTGCAGTGGGCATCTAGGATGCTATGTCAGCTTAGCTCAGTTTGCAAACTTACTGATGCAAATTTAGCTTTTCTTTTAAGGAACTAACCCAGTTTATGTACGCCTGTATCTTGGACCTGCACCAGTGTATCCATCAGGTACTGTATGCATGGTTAGCACCATCGGAAGGAGGTGCTGGGACATCAGTAAATAGAAATTACAAATTGCACGGCGGTTCAGCTGACAGGCAGAACTGGTTTCAGTGCATTGTTGCAGTGTGCTGCTGCAGACCTGGGCTGGGGGTAGACCCAGACAGCATTCCAGTGCAGACAGGACCTGTAAAGAGTGTGCATCAGCACTGCATGATATTGTAGGAGAGGAAGTAGTGAACAATGCCGTGTCCAACGGAAGCTGTGGCAAGAATTTATCCAAGGCTCATTGTAATTACTCAAGCTGGGAATTTGGCCAGTGCATTGGGGTTAACACCCCTACTTCTTTAGGAGTGTCATAGTTTATTTTTTTAAATGACTTTAAGTGATGAGAAGCTTGGCTGTCTGTCTCAGCAGAACAGCAACGCCTCTTGCAGTGTAAACTTCTTACAGCACTGAGGAGCTGCTTCAGAACTAACTCAGAGTGATGGGGCCTGGCTCAGTAATCACTGCTAAATAAATACTCTCAGTAGATAAGAAAGATAAGAGTGTGATTAGGGCAGTTTCAGCTGCTATAATCACAGTCGTACCTTCCTTAGCCTTCAGTCCCCACTCTGCTCTACTCTGACCTTTCTTAAGAGAGCAAATGTAAATTTGAGAATAAATCATGGAACCCGAACCAATGAAATTTGGTTATTAATTATAATTGCAGTTATGAATCACAGTTCTCTGCTTCCATCCTAGGAAGTTTGCCATCGTATAAGCAGAATGTAATTTACCCAAGTATATATATAGATTTTTTATAAAACTTTTATGGTTCTATTATGCGCTGATTTAGAAACCAACTTTCACCCTGTTCTCTGCTTGTAAAGATAAGCAGTTGTGTCTTTTAGCACATAAATAGTTGTGAAATGCACAAGTGAGGAACTGTTTTCTTTGATTTGCCCATCAAATGTGCCATCATTCCAGTAGTAGCTTAGCCCATTATCGTGGTTTACAGGGTTGTACAGGAAAAACATGCTCTAGAGAAAGGCTGGTCAGAATAGATGAGATAGCCTTACAAAAGCAGATCATAATAACCTGTATCAGGCAGTGTCCTGACAGTTTGTCATAATGACAGAAATGAAGCAATACCAACACTATTACATAACCACGTTTGTATTATAAGAAAACAATAATACTTCACTGTGCTCTTACCTTTTATCAGACAAGTAGGATTGTTCTTTGCTGTCTGCGTCTGCTTGTCCCATGATTCAAGAGAGTAGTTGTGTCCATGAAGAAAAGGGGAAAGAGGCACAAGAGGAGGAAGTAGTTACCAAGGTCATGTGGGGAGCAGAGTCAGAGGAATGAGCAGAATCTCATCCTTCTGACTGTCCCACTCTGCCCTCTGGGCAACCAGACAGAAGTGGAAGGCTGGCTTGCCCTGTGACTCAACAGCTCTTCCTTCCTCAGCAGTACGCTGGGCAGTTACAAATAAGTGCCAGTGTGCCACTTGCTTCTGTGTCAGGTTCCCAAGGGACTCTAGGTAGGCATGTCTACTGCTGGAGAAGGCCAGATGGAAGGATCTCTGCAATGCATTTCTTTGGGAGCGTTATTAGAACTTGGAAAGATTCTCTTTTCGCCAGATGTATGTTGCTTTCCTCTGATTTCTTTCATAAATTGTGTAACCTGGGGACACACAGAGCTTTTTACCCTTCTCTGTGACAGTCTAACAAGCCTGTGACGTGTGTGCCAAATGAACATATCTCTGAGATAAGTCTTGGGTGAATCCTGTAAGTTTCTCCTCGAGGGGAGCACTGCTGACCCGTGTAGCCTTGCACAGGTTTGCCCTGTGGCTCAGAATGGGATCAGGGCCATTTATTTGGGCTGAAAGTAAAACTGGGAGGCAGTTCTTCTGGAAGTTAATTTTGCAGCAGCAGAATTTGCCCAAATAAAAGCAAGTTTGGTGACTTTGGCCTGTTCCATAAAGTGCTGCCACAGTAAGAAGTAAGAATTACCTGGAGTTAAATGCACGCCTTCTCTTCCCATAGGCAGCTGATGGGACTGCAGTGCTGGCAGTGTCTGTGTCCTTCCACCAGGTTCAGCATGAAGCCCTGCATCTTCATCTGAGCAGCACCTCCAGTTTTTGTCCTCGTGCTTCTCTGTATCCAACACCTGCGTGCTGTTTAGCTGGCTGTCAGTCATTGCCCTGTTGTGATGCAACTAATGCTAGCGTGCACTTCCAGAATACCAGTTCATTCTTGGCCTTGAGGAATAACTGATGGAAGGAAACAGCACAGAAAGAGACTCTGTCTTGGTTCTGGTCTCTGGATGGATGGATAAGGAGAAGCCTGTGGCACAGAGGGATGAAAGGTGACTAACAATGTGAAACTTGTCCCAAAAAACTCATTATAATCATGCAATCTTCGGGTGGTTTTCTTTCTCTAAAAGAAGCCACCTTGTGTCAGTTGGCCCTCTGGCACTTGTTGCTCACCCTGTCTACTGGATAGAAGTATTAAACAATTATTTCTCTGCTTAGAAAGTTTAATACAATGTCGCAGCAGTGAGGCTACAACACTATTTTATTTTTTTTCCTTCAGTCATAGTTTTGTGTCCACCCTTACAAAACCTTCATGAACAAGCTCTGTTGAATTTTGCTGTGGCACTTTGAGATGTTGCTGGTGTCTGATCTAGTCCTGCTCCACAGCTTTCTTCCCCATAGCAGAGCTAGCAGAAGAATTTGTTCTGTGCCTGCTGACCCTGGTCCAGGGCAGCATCCCCCAGAAGAGCAGCTTTGCTGGAGGTGGTGATTTAAACCACGGAGCGTGTTTCCTAGGAGGACTCTTACTTTCCTAATTAGCATGCCTGCTTTGCCAGTGAGCTGCAATGAATGGTTCCCCCACTGACCCAGTGGATCCTGGTCTTGCATTTTACAAGTAAAACGACACATTCTGGGATGTTGTAAATGTACTCCTTGGAACTGATTCTCCTCATAATCTGTTGTGAAAATATGGCCCTGTCCCTCAACAGTTCTGCAGTCACCTCTCTGTGACACACTGTGTTTCACTCTGGAATAAAATTTTAGACCAGAAAAAGGGTTAGGCTGCATGCAGATTAACAAATCTGTTGCTGGTATCTCTGGCTACTGCAGCATGACTCACCCATCAGCGCCTGTCAGCGGCTGTGTGACCTCATTGGAAGCTTCAGCATCTCCTGTGTGAAGGTAGCTTGTAATCCAGAGTGGGAATCCTAAATAGGTGGAGGGACTGTGGTGATGCACACAGCACGGCTCTGTAGAAATCAGATGTGCCTTCACCAGAAATCACCATAAAAATCCTAACGTGTTTCTGATGATCTTCAAATACTAAGGCTGCCTTTCCCTTGCCTCTATTGAAAAGCACCTGTAGCTTTTCAAGACAGCGATAGACATCACTACTGATAGGAAAATATAGAAGTAGATAGGTCATGGAGGAGAAGCTCCTTTATTTGCAAGGGCAAGGAGGAGCTGATGGCTCCTTTCTATTTATCACAGCTTCCATTGACGTGATGTACTGACAGAGGAACAACAGGGCTGCTGGCATGCAGTTGGAGGGAGACAGTTGAAAAAGCAGCAAGAGGATCTATAACGAAAGGAATGGATGGGTGAATTAAGTTGTGGTACCTGACACGTGTAGCTTAGATAAGTAGTGTGATGGTGAGACAGAAAATTGGGAGGCAGCAGTTTAGGCATCAGATGGTTCTTCTTCAGCTGGTGCTTGCTGGCTGAACACAGAGCTTGTGCTCAGGGTCTGTGCCTTCTGCCATGGGCTGTTACACAGCTCCTCAGACAAGCATAGAGCTGGCACTGACTGAATGTGGTTAATGCAGAGCTGCTGCACACCAGCTCTGTTACCTAGCAAGTCTATTGTCTTGCCCTTTGCCTCAGGTGGATGGTAGTATTGTTTTTGCATTCCTTACATTTCTTTCCTGTGCCTGGGAATGTGGATTTTCTTGGTGAATATTCTGTTCCAAGAGGATTTGTTTCATGTTTTGGTGCTTCTTTAAGGAAGGTGTGGGTGGTCTTACAGTTGAGGCAGACATGGGATTTGCAAGGAGGGACTAGGCAGCATTTTGTGTCTTTTCCTGCAGGATTCCCTGCCACCAGGATCAGCCAGGTCCTGCTGCTGTGTGTTTCCAGCAGGCAATAAGCTCGTGTCTCTGCCCGTTTTCTAGAACCAAGATGTGCAGTACATGCAAAGCACAGCTAGTCCTGGAAATGAGTCTCTGCAGCTCCTTGCATGGAGGCCAAGGTCTGATATTTTGAGATGAGCTTGCTTTCACTGTGTGATCTGATGGGTGTGAAGGGCAGGAGGTGGAGCGCCCATAGCAGTGCTGTCTGTGCTGCATCACCTGCAGGGTGTGATGGTTTAACTGTTTGTTTTTTTTGGTCAATATTTGAAGCTTCATTGCTTGATTTACATCTTGAGTAATTTTTTTTGTATCTCGGAAGACTTTTCTTTCCAGTATGAAAGCTTACCGAGGGTTCCAGTGGCATCCTGCTCTTACCTCGGGCTCAGCCCTCACCACTGCTCTCCGTTTTCGCCATGAAATGGGCAGGCACCATTTGTGACTGTGCCAATATCCTGAGTCACACATTACCAGCTGGCTTTTGTGCTGCAGTTTCCTCTTCTCCCTTTACGACTGCACTCCCTAGAGGAGACCTGAACAATTGCACTTGTCAGCAGCAGCGCACCGTGTGCCGTGGCTGAGTGGCACCACTGCTGGATGACCTCTGGCTGTGAGTGGCCTCTGGTTTGATGCTGTGTGTCTGCTGCTTCCATACCACAGAACAGAACAGGTGAAGCTTCAAGTAGCATTTCCCATACTGCACTATGGAGATGGCAATATGAAGTCTTCACTAAATAATGATTGGGAAGGACTGATGACACCAGTGGTAAAGTAGAAGGTAGAAAGATAAATTGTGTTCAAAGGAGTGAACTAAAGGCAGAACTCTTCACTGGGCTTTTTGACCCAACTCGTCTTGACATTCAGTTGCTGGACTCATCTGAGCCTGCAGCAGTCCTGTTTTGTCCTGACCAAATAACAGTGTATTAAATGCCATTATTCTGTCTATGCCATTTCTGTGTATTCACAAAAAACAAGCTGATTTCTCACTAAACCCCTCCTAATGTACATTGCACAAAATTTTATTAGTTAAGATCAGCTGATTTCAGAAGGTTGTAACACACACAAACCATTAATGTTTGTCCAAGAGGAGTTAAAGCAGCTCATCCTGCGAGGCATTGAAGTCAATCAGGGCTTTGTTTGGAAGCGTTTGGGACAGTCTGTGCCATCAGTGGGTGGTGGTCCTGCAAAGGAGGGGAGATGTGTGCTGTGCTGACGCAGAACCAGGTGCTGGTTGCATCCACTGGGGGAAGGAGCAGCACGCCTTAGGAGCAGGGTGTGGGTTTTGGTGGAGAAGTCTTGCAGAGCCTCTAGAAGAAAGTCAGGGAGGGAAAAAGAAGACATGAGGTGGACTTTGAGCTGAGGGCATCCTGGTTCCTCTTACTGTGTGGGAAGCTTGTGGTGCTGATGTGTCTGTTTGAAGAGGGTTGGGAAGGCATGCGCTGTAGCTGGAGACAGCAGCAGTCCTGAGAGGAGTTTTCTGAGGAGGGACGACTGACAGCTGTTTAAAAACTCACATACATGTTTACTCACTTGCTCCTCCTTGATGTGTCTGACTCATCCATCCCTGTCTGAACATACCAGTTCCCATTTTTACTTTTCTCTCCTTTTGTTAACCTCATCTTTCCTATTCTTCAAGCTTCCTTTCGTATCTGGGTTTAATTCTGTTCAATCCAGTTGCTTTGGCTTCTGCTCTGCCTGGGCTTTGCACCTGCTACAGCCCCAGCAAACTTGGCAGCAACCCTTCAGCTCTGCAGAGAAAACAACTGTCTAGACCAGGAACCTTCTGCCTGCTGCCCTGGCCGTACCCCAGGCACTAATCTGCATCCAGAACAGCACGCTGTTGTGTGAGTGGTTCCTCTCTGCTCTCCCTTCTGCCTCTGCAGAATCACACGTGCTGATTTCTCAGCAGGTGCTGGCCTAATGCGTATTGATCTCCTGCACAGGTCTGTTGCAAAAGATGGATAAAATCTTTGTGGGCTCCTAATTGCACCTTTAGCCTCCTGGTGAGTAAGGCAGATGGGAGTGAGGGCTCCCACGGTATCAGAAGCACCTTCTGCAGACGTGGAAGCAGAGCAGGCTGGAGGAAAACAACACCAGGCCTCTACAGGGATCCCTGAGGAGTTCAGGAAGTAGTGCTGCTTATTCCTAAAATGATTAGAAGGAAAAATCTCGGTGTCAAGATTCTTGTGGCACAGAAAGGGCAGCGAGGCCTTAGTGCAAAGTCACATGCCATTCCCATTCACAGCTAAAGCCCCGCTGCCCCAGGCAAACACAGAGCCTGTCAGCGTCCTGCAGCTCACCGTGCAGAGATGTGACCAAAATAGCTTCCCCACTTCACAGCACCACCAAAAATAGCTTGCAGGTCAGCTCCTTTCTTAAAGGTAGTGGTGATACGGGAGAGCACTCCTGCTGCCCTTCAGTGCAGGTAGAGCTGGGTACACAAGGGGAAAAGCTGCTCCCACCACCCTCAGGGCTTTAATCTGTTGTGTATGTGAGTCTGGCTGTGGAGAGGAACCTCAGCCAGGTTTGGCAGAGCCTGATTTGCAATGCTACAGGAATCAAATGTAGGTTAGGAGAGGTTTGCCTTGCCTGCAGCCGCCTGTGCTGCCGAGGGAGCTGCGCTGCAGCAGGCGATGCTGGCAAGGATTTCCTTTGTGCTGCAGCTTTCATGTCTAGTGATTTTATGGGGCTGAAAGGGACGGAGAAGGTGACAAAATGGTGAAAAACCTGAGGCCAGGTCATTGCTGTCAGATGGGGATGGAGTCCTGCAGCAGTCAGAGGTAACAGAACGGAACACGCTGATGCTGCTACCAGGAAGCTTGAGAGAAATGTGACTGAGTGATACAGTGCGCATGTGCCTTTGGAGAAAAGAGGCTATCTGTGAGCTCTAGCAGTGCTTTTCTCTGCCCAGCAACATCCCTGCTCCTTTCCTACGTTC